AACAAAAATCAGTCAAACCAGGCAACTTGGGTCGTTGGCTTTGGCACAATTTGGAATTAACCTGAGCTTTCCAAAGCAGGTCCTTCCCTTCAGGATACGGTTGGGTTGGTTTTCCTTTTCACACCTGTTTTCTTCCCAGGTTTTTCTTGTTGTTTTCTTCCACCTCTTGCCCACCTGCAGCTGCTGCTTTAGCAACCAAATCCCCTGGAAAGGCAGATTGCTGGCATCCATCCCTCTTTCCCGAGGTGACAGGGTTTTCCAAAGGACTCCAGGGTTGTGAACACCAATCGCGGCACCTTTTCCTTCGGGAATTCAGCTTTATCCCAGGGGAATCCCAAAGGGAGAAGGTGGGGGAAGCGCTGTCCCTTGTTGTGGCTCTTCCTCTTGGACAGGCAGTTCGTGCAGCACAATTCCCTTGGGAATCCTGTGATTCAGAGCAGAGGAATTATCTCTGCTGCCCCATGATCCTCGGGAAAGCTGCAGGGCCTGAATTTTAAAGGAAAAGGGGGCGATTTACACCCTGGAGGCTGCAGCTCCCCCATTACCCCCCCACCACCAGCCCACGGCACATTCCCCGTCCCCGGCTCTGCAGTCGGCCCTTGCTGAGCAGTTCGGGGTGTGGGGACGGGGTGTGGGGACAGGGTGTCCCCCTCAGTGTCACCTCCCTGTCCCCCAGCAGGGTGTCCCACCCTCTGTGTGCGTGACTTTGGGCATCGCCCAGCCTTGGCTATTCCACAGGAGCCACGGCCATCTCAGCCTTTCCCAGCAGCTGGAGCAGGGAGGGGTTTGCTGGTGACAATTTGGGATAAAACGGGTGTGGCACTGCTGGTTTTTTTTTGGGAGATGTGACTCGGTGCTCCTGACAGGGAGGGCTTGGAAGGCAGGACCGAGTGGATGTGGCAGGAATTTTGGCAGGGCGTCGTGAACAGGGATGCTGGGGGTTCGCAGGGGACACCCCCTGGGTGTTTTTTGTCAGGGATTTTGGAGTGGGAGCTGAGAGTTCTGTCCCTCTGAGCGTTCCTTTCACTCAAACTGGGAGTGCTGGGGAAGATTTCCATTGCTCCCTTCTCCTGGAGCTCCCCCCTGCCGCTTTCCCTTCTTTGTCCCGTGCTCTCTGCAGGCAGGGCTGAGCCTCTCCCAGGGGATCTTTGCCAAGGCTTTCCCTGGATCTTGCCGTGTTCCCTCGGCAGAGGAAAGCAGCAACTTCCCAGGAAGCTCTCAGATTGTCTTAGGATCACACGTCACCTAATCCCACAGGGCTCTTTAGGATTCTGTGAGCAGACCTCTGGGTTTCCACACTCTTCAGTCACATGCCTCCACTTTCCCCTCTTGTTTTTTTTTCTT